TGAAAGGAAAATCTGTCTCCTTTTCAGACTTATTTCCCCAAACACATATGTTTCATAAACAGCGCGAGGTACGTGGCCAAGGAAAGGAAATCAATGTCATGCTTATATTGGCTGAAAGGCTCAGAGCAGGATATTGCCTTTCAAAATCTTTAATCCCTGTCGCACAGCCACAGGGAACACCGCGCTCTTAATTTGTCTTGGTCAGTTCAAGTAGCTTTTCGGCCAAGCAGATTGTGATAGTGCCCCAGGGAACTTTTGTTAAAAACCCTGTTTTGAATGTGAAGCTGCAAATATGGGTTCAGCACCTTGGTGGGAATACATCCATTATCTCTGTGAAAGACAGCAAGCTGTGGCTTTCCGCGAGGCGATGTTCTCGCATGTGCAGGCCCTGTCCTTGTCAGCTAATGCACGCCCACGAGAGCTGTAGCGGGAAGTAGTTCTCCCCACGGGCACGTGCCGTTACCCTGCAGACCCCTGGGTTGTGGGTTTTAAGCCCTCATCAGTGTTATGGCTGTCGCTGCTGCAGCGGTTGCGTTTCCTCTCGGTGTGCTGAGCCATGACGTTTGCCCATGTCAGGCGGTGAAGGGCTTTAGTGGATCAGGCTAAACTCCCCTGGCTCACTTCTACAGGTAACAGTGGGTTTTCATCCTCATTCTGGAGTTTTGTCTTTTCCCATGGTCAATTCGCTATACAATATAAAAGTCGACGTGCATGGGTGGGAAGGGAGGAGCATTTGTACTGAGGACAGAGAATTGAGGTAGGGTGGGGATAGGCTGTGAAAATGAAGATGGAGTAGCTCAAGTTTGATGCTGCTTTCTAGAGGACCATCATTGGACTTTCTCAATGTGTCTGAAATTATTTGAAGGGTGGTTTTTCTCTTTCTTTCTTTTCCCCTGCCCTGAAAACTCATTGCAAAAAGATACAGAAAGCAAGACCAGCAGCAGACCAGAGTTATGGTATCCCTTTAACCAGGTGACAAAAGCTGGGTTTGTCTCAGTTTAGCCCCTCGTTGTTGGTCCCTATGGGAGTTCGTTAATGAACTCCAGCACGTCAATGAACTCCAGCACGTCGTTTCCATCCATTCTTGACTGAATGTCACGAATTGCATCAAGATTGGGAAAGCACAGGTGAGACACCGAGAGGAAAGGAAAGTTGGCCCTTCTCCCTGGCTTGCCTTTTCTGAAGTCCACATGCAGGAACTGTCTTCTCTCTCTGGTGTGTTGCTTTTGTCCTTATGCCACTTTTAATCCCTACGTAGAAGAACCAAAGTTTGCTTTGGGAACCTTTGTCGGTTTCAGAGCTAATAATTGGGTTTGGGAGTTAATAATTCAGCTATAAATATACTTGTCATGTTAAAGCTTGACATGGTAATATCTTGGCTCTGGGATACTTTTCTTCTGTCCAAAGATTATTTATTATGTAAAATTCCCACAGGCGCAAATATTAGAGAGCTCTTCTGACTCCCTTCAGGTGCAAGTTACCTCCCTACTTCCGTTTCTGGCAGGTCTAAGTCTGTCTGTGCTAGTTTTGGTTCAAGACCTTTAGCAATTAGTTACCTTGCCTGATCCTAGGAGAGCGCCCAGCGCGCTGCCCGTTGGCCTGGCTTGGGAGACCGCAGGATTGTTTCTGTCCTTACTGCCTGCAAGTTGTTTCTTTCCCATTCTGACAGACAGCCCTCTCGGAAGCCGTCCATTTTCTTCATTTCTCGGAACTACCCAAAGCTTCAAAAGTCGCTGGTTATTTTGTCTGCCTCTGCTTTTAAGGCCTGAAAGCCCTCTAAAGAGGACTGGTTTTCCAGAAAGTTTCCTGGAACTCAAAAGCTGCTCCACTATGTCCAGCCAAAGAGTGGAAGCAGTTCAGGTCCACCACTGAAAACGTCAACATGTGTTTGGCACAGTGTGCACACACATGTGAGTGAGGCCATAAAATTCATTACTGTAGGTCAGCTCTTCAGGTACAACTGTATCCAGATGACTTTTTAACTTTCTACTCTCGTTCTTTAATTGCAAACTTTTTTTAAGACAAAAGCAATACAAATATGATGGTAAAATTTGTGTCTTTGGCAGGTTTCCCTCTACTGTCCAGCAAGAAACCTGGGCTACACTGGAAGGAGAGCTCAGCCAGCGGTCAAAGTGGTCCTGGAGAGGATCACTCCCAAACACAGGTATGAGGGAGGATTGTGCAGAGCAAAAGGAGCGTAACTACTGTTGGGGCATGTCTGCTTTTGGCAGGCTGTCTGAGCATCCTCTGCTCTTTCAGATACTTTTGGTTCTCACAGTAACCAGCAAAAGTTGGAGTTATGCCTGTGCTATACGTAGGGAAGAGACTTGGATCCTCTGATTGATATAACCATTCCCAAATCATGCGGCTAAGTGGCATTTGCATTTTGTGGGACTCAGACCTCAGTTGCACTCAGAGTTATGCACTAACCTGTTGCATCAGCCAGCATGTAGACACCACCACCCTGCCCTTCCCTAACAGCTGCCACTGGGATTTCCTCTGTGCCACAGTTTCTGCCCAAAGGAGAGGAAACCCCCCACTACAAGAAAGACATTGAGGTGCTGGAGCGTGTCCAGAGAAGGGCAACGAAGCTGGTGAAGGGTCTGGAGCACAAGTCTTATGAGGAGCGGCTGAGGGAACTGGGGCTGTTTAGCCTGGAGAAGAGGAGGCTGAGGGGAGACCTCATCGTGCTCTACAACTACCTGAAAGGAGGTTGTAGCGAGGTGGGGGTTGGTCTCTTCTCCCACGTAACTAATGACAGGACGAGAGGAAATGGCCTCAAGGTGCGCCAGGGGAGGTTTAGATTGGATATTAGGAAAAATTTCTTCACCGAAAGGGTTGTCAAGCACTGAAACAGGCTGCCCAGGGAAGTGGTTGAGTCACCGTCCCTAGAGGTATTTAAAAGACGTGTAGATGTGGTGCTTAGGGACATGGTTTAGTGGTGGACTTGGCAGTGTTAGGTTAACGGGTGGACTTGATGATCTTAAAGGTCTTTTCCAACCTAAACAATTCTAAGATTCTAAATCTCTGTCCCTCGGTGCTCCCGAGCTGGCTGTTGGTCTGCCTGCGTGGTTGTAGGGCTGGATGGAAACGTGTGGCATGTTGGGCAAGGCCAAGTACCAGCAGCGGTGGGGTGAGAGGGTATCACATCCGAGTGGCTTAAATGCCACTTGATCGCTGTGCATCACTGGGCAAAAGGCAAATGCCAGCACTGGCCTCGGAGGGCAAATGTGGGAGCCGAGGTAAGGGGTCGCATAGTGCCGGCCATAGGAAACCTGGCATAGGTGACTGGGGGATTTCAGGCTGTTACAGCCCTTAGACATAGGTGTGCCCGTGTCTAATGTTTAAATGTTTACCCTTTGCATCCAGTGGGCAGAAGACTTCTATTCTTGATTTGCAGCAGGCCCTGGGCTCTACACCTCCCACAACTCAGGAGCATCTTTAGCTTCCTTTGGGACCTAGGATTTCCACTGTATTTTCTGTCCTTTTTTTTTTTTTTTTTTTTTTTTTTTTTAAGGCTGAGGAAGGGTGGGCCTGCTGTAAGTGCAGCGCTGCAGCAGCCGTCATGACCGACCATCCCGAGCAAAGGGCAGCACGTTCCCTGGACTCAGAGCGGGGTGGAATGGGGACTAGCCCACGTCCTCCGTGTCCTAGCCCGTTGTCCTCACCTTGGGTTAAACATGATTAAAATTGCTTGACCTCAGGTCTGCATTAGAAAAAAAATCAAGTCTTCCACATCCACGGTGGTGGTTGAAATCCGGTCCAGGACAATAAGGCCAGGAAGGGAACGTCCCAGGGGAGCAGAGCTGCACAATGCTGCCTGGCCGTGCTGCGCTCGAGGAGAGGTGACTCCATGCTGCAGCTCCCACTCTATAAGCAGTGCATAGCAGCCTTTTTCTTACTCTAAGAGAGAGGATTAAGAGGATGTTTATTTGTTTATTGGTGTTTCTCATGTTTTTTATCTGAGATCCTGGCCAATATTAATTTAGGCATCAAATATGACTGTGAAACACAGAGTAATCATTATTGCCTTACTTCTGATGCTTCTGGGAAACGAGAAGTCAGACAGTCACCCATGTGAATTTGAGAATCTGGCACATAAGTGGAAACAGGAATTGAATCTTCTCACCATCCGTTATCACATAACGTTGAGGATAAAATGCCTCCCTTTTAAGAAGGAAAAAAACCTCTAATTTTGGTCTGCTGGCTAGTTAATGTGGACATTTATCCTTGTTACTATCTCCAACAGAAGAGTTTGGTGGCTAGAGTAATGAATTTAAATCTTCACCAAAGGAAAAATAATCATGAGAGAACTAATTGAATTTTTTAAAACGACTGTCTTGCATTTTAGAATCTCTTCTGGGTCAGTTCATTCATTCCTACCTGTGCTATGTAAGCAGTCAATATTACAAAAGCAGTTGGCGAGGATGGATAGTGGTCCCTTGTGCTTGCTGGAAACTCTAAGGGGATGCAACTGGAATGCACACGGGAGAATAGAGCAGAACTGCTTTTGTTTATTTTCCTGTAGATAAGACTGTTTCTTTCTAAGGAAAATATTAAAGGTAATTCATAAAGTTATGACAGATTCTTAGCATGAATAACATTATTTTTAGACTATTAAAATTTCCAGCAGTATTAGATCTCCACTCCTAGAGAAATATCAGCTCTTTAGGGAGAAAACCTTTTCTTCTTATTGTGTTATCATCTATATATACATATGTGTGTGTATATGTGTATATAAAGTAAATGTTACGCTTATTAGTATTATGTTAAGATTGAAATCGATTAAAATATTATATGAAATAAAAGATACGTTAAACAATATTTTTAGCCACTAAAATAATCTTTTTTCATGCACTTCACAGTTGGCTTCTTACAAGAAACCACCAGAAGTTACAAGAGAACATTTCAAACCCTACAGCCCAGTATTTCAAAGAAAAGAAAAAGCCAGAGAGATGCCTGAAGGCATCTGCCTCTATGTGCCCCATTGTTCTTTTCAGAGCAGCATTAGAGGTTCTCCACGGACCCCTCCTGGGAACGGGACACTGTCTGATGACTTTTCTGAGCCTGAAGATATAGATGGTGACATTGGGACATACACAGCCCAGGGCTGGAAGGAAAAAAACCTGAAATATACCTCTGAACCAGATGATTTTAACAGGAAAACAAAAGTGCTGTCATCTCTGGATTTGAAAGAGAAAGATGGCAAAAATACAAGGCACCCAGAAGAAAAGCTGGAGCGAGAACTAAAGGAGGCAAAAAAGAGGCTGGTACCTTGTACTCAACAGCGATCCTTGTTGTGTGATTCAAACAGGACTGACTTAGGTGGAACCAGTCCAGGGTATCGAAACAAAGGAACGCTGGGGACTTCAGAGGAGAAGGATGCTGACTGGAGAAAAGATGTGTTCAAACTATCTGGTTGTCCTGTGCCTCTCGTATTTGCAGACGACGCTCCACCAGCTTTGCCAGTTGACACAAAAGATGCTCTAAGGAGTCCAGATGCAGTTGCCAGGGAGCATGCAGCTGGCCGGCCAAAATCCCCACTGAGGCTCATAGCCAATGCGATCAAACGGTCCATTTTGGAACCTCTAACCTCGTCTCCAGAAGGACTAAAGCAGGACTCAGAGAGCAGAGTCAAAGCCTCTTCAGAACAAGCTTTCTTCAGCTTCCCCAGTACTCCTAGCTATTCCCTAAGCCAAAGGAACAGTAACAATAATAGAGCAAATAACACTCAGCCACAGGAGCTTAAAGTAGGGGAGTGGGCAGGAGAATATTTAGGAAATGGGAGCGCTCTCTCAAATGCATGTCATTTTTCTGTTGGGTCTGAAGAGAGATCACCAAGGGATTACAGCAAGGAGGTATCCTTCCCAGTCTACAGTCCTCACACTAGGCCTTCCAAGACGACCAGAATACCTCATAAATCATATTGCACTAGGATGGAGGATGTCCCAGGACTCCTAGAAAAGTTTACCTTTAAAGAGACTCCTCCAGGGACTCCCATGGATGACATATTTATCTGTAATGAAAAGTACCTCCTTCTTTCATCTCCAGAGCCCAAGAACAACTCCAAGAACAATCTGGATGACTCTGCACACAAGGGTAGTCTTGGGTCGCTCTTTGATAGACTGAGAAGTAAAGTTCATGACAGAGAAGGGAATTCCTTCGTGTCATCTCTGCCTTTTGTGAAGGACCGTTCTCCAGAAGACAGGCTACATCATCCTTCCACAGGTGAGGGCATGAGTGGAATTACTTATTTCTGGTAATAGCACTTAACATTTAAGAGACCAGTGTGTGATCATGCAAATACATATCTGTTGCATGCTATGTTTAATTTATAGTTAGTTTCTACATAGGAAGACTTAATAAATATATTTTTTGGTTAAGGTTTAAGAGTTGCTTCTGGTTTAAAGGAGAAGAGTGCATTTGCAAGCAGAGCGCAGCACGCTGGACCCAAGTTTGATGTGCTGCTCGCTGCTGTTCAAATGTGTTTAGGTCAGGAAAATGCACTCGCCGGGGTGGAAGGAGCGGGGAGGCCGAGTGGGATGCTGAGCAGAGCAGCTGCTGCTGTGGCACTGAGCGTCTCGTGGAAGGGGGAGTACAGCGGCAAGCAGAAGGACGAGCACTGAAAACTCCAGCGCAGTGTAGACTACATTTGCTACTCTTTCCATGAGGAGCTCAGAGACTGAAGCAATACGGTTGCAATAGCAAGAAGCTTTGCTTTGTGCATGTGCTTTCTCAGCAGGTGTCTCTTCAGCTCTGTCTGCTGTCGTAGTGACCGAACTGTAGACATACTTTCGGGAGCTTTGCGGTGTCATTAATATCCCCCTGTTCTTTTATTTGAGAGGAGATAGCACTTATTGACATACTCTGACCTATTTGTGAGTCTATTTGGGCAGTGATTAAAAGGCATCAATTTTCATGTTTGCTTGCAAGAACAAGGTTAGTATTAAAATTGCAGACGAGTCTAAGAAATATTGATGTCAGACAAAGAGCAACCTGAGTAATCTGAGCATAGGCTCAGAAAGAATTAAGTGCAGCACAGTTTCAGGTATGAAATATGAGGTACGAGAGCTGCACCCACCTGTCTTTCTCCGTGATCCATCTTTCCACTAGCTCACTGCAGAAAGTCACAGTTATTTAACTAAATAACCTATTGAATTTTATTGAAATACCTGTTTGTTTCTTACTTTATTAAATTGCAACCCAAACTGTAACCCCAAAATTGCTGCTGTACTGCAGCATTAAAATAACAATCTGTATGTAAAATGTGAAGTCACTGAAATGTTCCCAGTGAGCTGCCAGATCCTTTTTGCATCCTTTCTGCCAGATTCTTTCTGCTTCAGAACTACTGCATACTGTGAGGAAGATATACAGTATATGAGACTTGAACTAAGCTCATTAAAATTGATAGAATAACTCCTGCTCTCGTTCCTGAATTTTTGGATTGGATTCTTGGAGCATCCTTTATCTAACAACTTGCAAAACCACGCATGCCCATCGAGCCAGAGGATGCTAAGGACTGCACTGAAGCCACCAAGGCTTGCTAGTGTTCACACTTGTCACGCTGTGGTCTTAAATGGGAGGCTTTTTCTGAGTCTGTACCTAGTCATCACCCATCAACTAAGCCAAGCTGACTTGCTCTTAACTAAATGTATTAAAATAATTGGTATGTTGTGTTCCTACTAAAATGGAAAAAGTTCTTGTTACATTTGAATAATGCTATACTTTATTTATGTTTTAAATATTTTGGAAAAACATGCTGGTTTAATATGTGTTGCATTCCTCTGCTGTGCAAGCCAGAAGAGGAATTATTAAATTATTATAATTATTGAATATAGGCATTGCAAAGTCTGTTCAGAAGAAGAAAATGCAGCTTTGATCTAGCAATTTGCCCACTGATCTGTCGTCTTCAATGTTTCAACGTTGCAGCTCCCTGAACTTTTTCAAACATTCATATTTGAGTAAATCAAACTGGTAAAGAGCCAAGTCCTCCTTGGCTCTCTAAAATGGCATTTCTGTCTCATATTGGCACTTGTCTGAGGCCCAGGCTTGGCAAACTTCAGTCATGAACTGATGACAAGCTTTAGCCCACATTACATGTCATTATTTTTCTCTCTTGAAATTTACCATGAATCTCAGAAAATTTCTTTTCTTTAAAGAAAAAAAAATACTCCCAGCACCTTGTAGAAACCAATTTAATGAGGCTCTTTCTCATACTCCCTTGGCTCTTTGCAGTAGGGCTTTTCCATCCTATTTGAGGCCAGACGGCCTTGCTCTGTGCAAGTATGGTTGGTCTTACATTACGCTGGTGTTTTCTCCCTCAATGGGCTGTTGGCTTGTGGAGCCAAAGAATGAGCTGGATGGTAAAAGTCCATGGGCTTGAGATGAGCCTGGGCAAGCTCATTGAAGAGAAATCCACTGAGGATTAACCAAATGCTTAGAAACTACTTCCAGTTTAGAAAGCTCCTGAACTGAAAAATGCTTGGAGGCTGGGCGAGTGTTAAGCGGAGGAATCATGTATGACTGCCTGGTGCCTATAGTGTTCCTTTAGACATCCATGGCTGGAGACAGACTGGAAGGACCTTCAATCTCACCCTACACATCTACTTCTATGTTATGTTGCTCATCTTTCACTACACCTTATCTTAGTTACTTCCTCTGCAAATACACGTCCAGATGTCTTTCCTATGCTGATGACTTCTGCATTTCAGTCCCAGGTGTCTGTCCAAACTAAAACTATATTCTATCCTTCTGTCATCTCCTGCCAAGTGTTCAGCCACCAGCTGAAGCTCAGCATGAGGAAGCAGAGATCTTAATTACTCAGCAGCAGATTGCCTGTCGCTCAAGCTTATGCCTGCAGTTACACCTTCCATGTGGGTCATTCCAGCTTCTGATATCCAGACTGGTCTAAAGGCTTTCTGGCTAACACTTTTTCTGTTTCATAAGAGCTATTCCTCAGAGCCACTTGGAAATTTTGGGCTGTGCAGAGATCTGGCTGCATAGAATACATGTGTGGGACCTAGACAAATCTTACTGAAGTGATGGGGGTTCATGCACTGTTTTCAGTGAGAAATTGGTTTTTAAAAAAAAAAAAAAAAATCCTATCTAAGTTTGCCTGTAGAATATACAAATGTCCCCAGATAGCCACAATGGGGTTTCTAAGTGCAATTCCAGATTTTTGATTTACTGAACAAATATCTTTGAGGCTTTTGTCCTTTGATTTCTCCTTTGTGTTCCATCCTGCAGTTAAAACCCAAAAACTTGCTCAATAAAATTTATCAATCAGATGGTTAACTGTTCTCTCCTAAACCTACTTGCCCTTTTGAAATTAAAAAAAAATGCCAAAGTGCTGTGTAGTGATAGATACTAAAAATCATTAATACCACAGAAAAACAACAGTGAAAAGAGAGCTAAGCCAGGTTGTGTGAGAGGTGCAGTCAGCAGTGTTTGTAATGAGACGCAGTAGTGGATCCAGGGTTTCGGTTACTTTTGACTTACAGACAGACCTTCTGAAGACCAGCCGACGAAGATGGTTGGTTGTTGGCAAATGTTTGTGACTCCGGGTTTGCATCTTGATAGCGATGGAGAGGTGGGAGGAATATTTCTATCCCTGGCAGAGTACGGATCGCGTGAAAACGTTTGTAGAATCATCCCCTGGATGAGATGAGAGTTGTTATAACTCAGTTTGTAACTGTGTGTTGTTCACACGGCTCACTTCATTAAGTAGGACAACCAATTCAGCTGATGAGAAGATTAGACATGTTATGAACTCACTTTGCTGGTTTTGTGCACTTTTAGATTGAAAAGGGATTCCTTGCAAATATTTCAGGTTCATACATGGTTCCCATTACTGCATCTTTGTACCACTGAAAGTCTGTGTGTTTGTCAGCTAGGACACTGTTATCTCAGCGATTTCGTATTTTAGAAGGGGAACTGAGGCACTACAAGATTAAATTATGTGCCTAAGACTACATGAGAAATCTGTGGAGAAGCAGAGATGTGAAGCCAAACAGCCAAGCCCACTCTTGATTTCTACTGGCCTTTCTTTTCCCATCTGGTTTGGGACACGAGTGCCCCAAGAGATGTGCGTGGCTTTGCTTCTCTCTTTTGTAAAACACTGAAGTACTTAAAGTGGTCATGTTTAGCTCCAATTACTTTATAAAAATATGCAATCTTGGACACTTACAGAGGAAGCCAGCAGATTTATATAACATTTTGTTATAAAAACAGTTCCTGCTCCAAGACCTTCTGTGTATTTAGACTATTTAGTCATTACTGTGACACAAAAACACCCCAGGAAAGGGAGGTGAGCTGTGACATGTAGAGTGATGGCAGTGGTGGTTTTCCCTATAAATCTCCAGGACAATCAGCAGTGCTCCCATGACTAACAGAAGGTATCACCTTCTTAACCTCTTCGAATGACACCTCCCTCTTTGTTCAGAGGACCTCAAGTTTCCTAGGAGAATCAGTACCTTTGATTTATGCGAAGGGGAGGGTTCTCAAAAGCACTGGTCTTTGGTCCAGTGGATCCCTCTGGATACAGCGAGGGTTTTACCGCCGATGGCATTCAATGGCAGTGCACTTAGGCCAAAGCAAAGTGTCTTTGAGACCCACCCTTGGATTACCAAGCTGTAAGGAACTGGCCATAGGAAGGAATTTTAATTTTATGGATGTAATTTTTCTTATCTCTTATGACATATACATATGAGGATACCAAGTCCCAGTATCAAGAATTGGAGGTTTCCTCCAACTTTGTACTTTGAAGCGTATTCTGTGACACTGTCAGATGCAATAACAATTAATAACAATAATAATTAATACTCAGTTTCCTGTGATTTGACAGCTGTAAATCAGGTATGCTGGAAAGGTCTCTTGACCCAACTCCTAGTAGCTGCTGTGAGGCAGAAATCAAGAATAGATTAATAAAAATTTCAGAAATATTTGTTCCTTTCCCCTTTATAATTAAGAAGTAAAACTACGGCTGACCGTTCCTAGTCATCCAAAGTGATGTTAGCTGGGGAGGAAAAGCTCTAGTATAAGATACGTTAATTTGGAAGTTAGGGAGACGCTAGAGTACTTAAGAAATAAGTAATAAATAACTCCCATTTTGAAGGAATGAGATGGCCAGAAAGAGAAAGCCCAAGTCTAGAACTAGGGTTGAGCTAATATTTGGGAAAAAAACATAGGTTTTTGAGATCTTTTCTGTAGCTATTGAGCTTTAAGGCTTGACATATTTGGAGTAGACAAATTATTATTATCTAACTTCACTATTGCAGTTCTAAGTTTCAGATTTAAATGACCCGCTAAGTGTAAAATTCCCTAAGTTGAACATTTTTGTGTGTGAACTCCTTGTCCAAATCCTCACAGCTGGCGGCTAAATTCTGCTTATCCCACCCCTTTGGAGATGGGAAGATTAATGCTTAGTCATCTATAGTAGAACATATAGATGCTGTAATACAGAAGAGTGGTTTTGGGGTTTTTGTTTGTTTGGGGTTTTTTTGTTTTTTGTTGGTTTTTTTTTTTAAATACAATAAACGTGCAGTATTTTTCTCTAGCTTTGCATAAAGCAAGTTTATGCAGTGAGGTAATTTCTTACTATGCTTGTTATAGTTGTCTTGAAGTTGAAATTTGCATCTGAGGTACATTTTAGAACATGTTTCTGGTCTCTTCCACAGGGAAATAGCAAAAGAAAAATAGTTGAGCAGAGCACTGGATGGCTGCCCTTTTAATGTTGAATGAATTGCGCTGTCCCACTGTTTCTATATCCCTGAAATGTGGCAGGACCACACATCTGGGAGCCAAAAACCTGTATTCTCATCCCAATTCCGTCACTCTCTGCTGTGTGTTTCCGGGCACCTCCTTGGAGCAGCCCGTGCTTCAATTATCCACATTGCGTTAGCAGAGAACATCAGTGCTGTGAAATGTATATGCAATAAATGTGACAGAGACTGTAACTGTCAACGCGCATAGGTAGATCCATCAGACGCCTCATCACTGAGTGGTTTCATGTGGTCCTTCGTCCTGTAGGCTTCTTGGGTGGAGACGATGAAGGACATTGCTGATGGCAGTCGGGTGGCTGTTGTCTCACAGGGCTGTGGGTACCACATCCCTTGAAAGGCTGAGCTGTTTCGGAGCAATCTAAATGGTTTTTCTCTGCAGAGCAAGGTGCAAATACCTGGCTTGCCATAACAGATTGGCATTGGATGTTACGAATCTGTTCCATGCACAGATATCAGCTTCTTCGTGCTCATGAGATGGCCCTTGGAAGTCCTTGGGAAAATCATTGACCCTTTCTCTGTCCCAGAGAGCCAAACAGCTCCCGAGTCACACCCCCGAGGAGGAGGCAGGTGCCCCTGTGGTACAGCGGGCTGCTGCTCCTCCAGACCTTGTAACGCTTTTTAAATTATTGATATCACTCAAAGAGCAGGACACGGGGAAGCAGTCACTTATTCCCACAGCTGAGAGAAGAAAGGGAGCGTGTAATTGCTTGTGTTTCCAACCCTGCCAGGCTGTAAGGTTTGCCTCTTGCATATTATGGAATTTGATTTCACCAGCAGCCTGACGGCAGGGTAGTCACTGCAAACTTTTGGTTGCACAGTGAAAAGCGAGGTAGGCGAGTTTACTCCTCAAAAGAAATAGTAACTGTGACACCCCCGTGCCTTCCTCCATCTTGTGCACTGGGAAGGGCTTTACAGCTGACTGTCCCTGCCAGGGGCAGAGATGGGGCACAGCCGGTTTGCACTCTTGTCGGCAGTGCATGGCACTGGTGTGACCCCGGCAATCGTGAGCCATCGGAGAGTCCCCAGCAGGTCAGCAAGCAGGAGCTGTGCCGCGAGGTGGGGAGGTGTGGGGTGGCAGCCTGGGCAATTCTGGAGCAGGGGAATGGCCCGAGAGGCTGGAGACCCACCTGGGGTTTCTGCCAGGGCTGTTGCACCTCCTGCTGCCCCAGGACTTGTCCTGCAAAAAAGGAGGGCAGGACCCAGCGCTGCTCCGCTGCACCCTCTGAGCTTGCAGCTTCATTGACACAAGGACTGGCTGCTTCTAAACTTGAGATTGCTGAGAAAAATCAGAATTTCTGCCTCAAATTGCTTGGATTTGCTTTCATTGCTTTACCGCCTGGATGAACGTGTTTCATGGATCCTGATTTTAAATTAGGTTTTGGGACAGAAGTCCTGCTTCAGGACTGGGATCCAGGACAAGGCAAAGAGGAAACATTTACACTGGGAGAATGGGAAGTGATTTTAATGTGAATACAACTTGCACATAGAAAGCCAACTGTTACCTCACAGATACAAAGAATAATGGCACTGTTAGCTTTAAATAATGTACGTTTCCAAGATGTTGCCCAGCTGTTAATCATTAACCCTGTAGCAGGTTGAAGCGTAGAGACAGATGTTCCAAAAGCAGTTTTATTTTCTGAAATAAAGAGAATGAAGCTATGAATTAGGCAAATTAAGAAGAAATTCAAATATTTACACCCAGTTGAAACAAGATGCTGGAAAAACAGGCATGATAAAATTGCTGCAATTAAATGTAATTTAATTTATAATTCTGAAAGCATGCTTCTTCCAAAGGCAGCCTTTGAGTTTTCCTTATGGAGTGCATTGTTGTGATGTATGGATTTTCCTGACTTATTATGGCATTTTAATCAACAGTTCAATGATGTGATAATATTCCTAAAGCAGAAAAATAAGTGACGTTTGTTTAGACATAATTAATGAAATATTTATGTTGTATGAGGCTGTGTGATAAAGCCTTGTTCTCGTAGTCCATTTGCTTCTGATTACATTTGTGATTTTTTTATATGACCAGACATTCTGACGCCAACTATTTTACACTGAGCAGATGTCATGTAGTAAAAATGGGTGCCAGATGCTACAAGCCACATAAGGGTAATTTGTTTAAGAGCTGGCTCAGACTTTTTGCATTCAATTACACTGTATAGTGAGTCTTATACAATCATTTGGGTAATATGGCTAACTTCAGATATACATTTTAATGAATGTTGAGTGCATTCAGAACAGCATGCTACATGCAGGGTGCTCAAGGAATTAATTTATTTGATTGTAATACCTGAAAAAAATCAAATATACCCAGACAGAGTTTTTGACAGGGATCAAAAATTTAATTAATGCCGTCACCCAAATTTCCAAATTGCTCTAGGTGCTGCTGATTAGAACTCAGGGCAGGTGCAAGTGTGTAAGTTAAAGAACAGTATTTTTTGCTGACTGTTTTGTTCCTGCATTTTAGGATGTGAACACCTACCTGTCAGAAAACAAGCTACCGAGTATTCTACTTCTTCCTCCAATGATGAATTTGAACCCAAGCCTTCATTAACACACAAGGTAACCTTGACTTGGAAACAGAAAGATATTTCCTCAGTTGGATTGTATTTAAGATTCATCCTATGATTTTGATCTAAAACACACCACAATTTCTCAAAGTGGGGATGGGAACGCTTTATCAGTGGAGGTTATGTGTCATGGAGAGAAAAATACATTAAAACTCTTTGAGACAGATGAAAATAAAAATTTCTGTTTCATCTTTGGATCTTTAATTCCCCCAGGTTACACCAACATTGACAGAGAAGGTCTTAATTTGACAAGCAGACATGTTTCACTGAAACCACTTTGAAGCTGCATTCTTAAGTGGCCTTAATATGTAGCCCAACAAGCAAAGTATTGAAAAAATTAAACCAAACAGATGCAGATTTCCCTGGGGAAATACAACTTCATTTGAGAGGCGCTACAGGCAGGTTGCGTGGGAAACGCTGTGTTTATCCTAATCAGCACGACTGCGTGAGCCACGAAGCCGCACCGGACCCTATCCACCGAAAGGCCGGCTGCACACCGGGCTCTGCAAGCCCTAACTGGGTTCCTGTGGCTAGCAGGAGCGGTGGGGTTAAAGCACCAGTGAACTCTTGATACCCAGCTCTGATTTGAAGAAACAGAGCTTTCATTGCCTGCATAGCTCATCAGAAATGTGCTTACCTCTTTCCTGCGGAGGGAATATTAGTAAGTGGAATTAATAGTACGAGGTGGCCTTTTGATTTGTTGCCTTTGAGGGGAAAAAAAGGAAAGCAAAGCAAGAGGCTGCCCAGCACACTGAAAAAACAGCTGAGCTGAAAGCTAAGTGGGGCTTTGAACGGAAACCCAGTTGCACAGCTCCGGAGGAACCGAAGTGCCACGAGGCAGAAGCGCAGCAGCGTGTGGCAGCACGTACCGCCAGTGTCCCTGTCAGGACGTGCTGAGATGCCAGAATTCATCATTCATCTTCCCTGTTACAGGAAAGACGATCTATAGTAAGATAATATGGTGAATTAAATAAAGTTTAAACAAAACAGAGAAAAGAAGGGAGACGTGGGAGAAAACTGAATGGGAGCAACTCCCAGCGGTTCCGGCAGCCGCAGGGACAGGCAGGAGCAGGCAGTGGGGAAGGCAGCGCTGCCGGGGCAGCTGCCAGAAACGGGGTGAATGAGCAGCTGTCGCACACGGGCGTTAGCGGTGACTCAGTTTTGATGCACGTTCCCTGCTCAGCTTGTTTCTCTCGGCTGCCTCCTAGACCTCTTTTCATGCCAGCACTGGCTGCTATTTTGCCAGTACCACCGTTTTTCTCCAGCAAAAGTCGGTGGGAAAAATTTTAGTGGCTTCCTGGCTTGTTAGTTTTTCAATCGTCTTGTCTACGGTGCTTATATATTCTGTCTCCTCAAAAATGGGAAAACCAGAGCCTTGAAGCACTTCCAGACTTGGGTCAAGGGCAAGACAGAGCAAGCGGAGGCAATGCCCTCGGCCAGCCCTGCAGCACGGGCTGCCCCGCTCTGCAGGCAGCAGCCACAGGTGCCCCAGGGAAAGGCAAAAAACCTCTGCAATGCAGCAGAGAAACGGTATGGGGGAAGGTTTTGTAGGGCTTCAGGTAGTGTCCTGTGATGGCTGTTTCTTTCAGGTATGTCCCTCTTACCGTGTTAGAAGCGATCCAAAGTGAATTTTACCACTTAGCAGCTACAGCAATAGAAATGGGTTGAGTTTCCTTAAACTGGTGCTTCCCACCACCTTTGCCTGGCTTCTTCCCTCATCACGGTGATGTCTGTAGAAGCCATGTATAGCGGTATGTTGTGTGTAGTCAACTTCGTGATTCGGGCATTTTTTATTGATAGACACAGTTCGCACTCACTTAGGGTGAGAGCAATAAGAGCTTGTAATGATTTAAAGTCAACGTAGGCAAATGCATGAAAATATTCCTATGTGAATATTTTCATTTCAGTTAGGTTGCCCCAAGCACCCTGCAGTAGCTCACCTAGCTTTGAGCAGGGGAGTTGGGTTAGATGATCTCCAGACGTCTCTACTAACCTCAATGGTTCTGCAATTCTAGGGAAGGAATACTTATGCTTTGATAGCCTTTTTTCTGTCTTTCTCTTTTGTAGGCAAAAAGAACTCTCAGAAGGAGAAGGAAGCTGGAGAAGGAGACAAAGCAATTGATTAAACAAGAGGAGCTGAAGAGGCTTCACAAAGCACAGGTGAAAATGTAGCTCGCAGATGTCCCATTTGTCTCCCAAGAATGACTAGCGAGGATGGGGGGTACCCAGTGTGGGCTCTGCACCTCCCCTCACTCCTCACTGTGGCACACTGCCTTCTGTGTTGAAATTCCCCAAAACATCAGGAGCAGAAGATGCATGTGGCAGGGCCTTGCAGCTTATATGCGACAAATCCAGGTGTGCCCCAGGAGATCATCACAATTTTGTAATTGTGTATGAGGAACAAGAGGGAATAGTGACTGGCAATAAGAGAAGAATACACTGAAAAGGGAAAGAAAAAAGAAGGGGAAAATAATATCAGCCCCTGAGAATGTAAGAAACTCAGCTATTACCCCTATGTACTACAGGAGGGTACGAAAATACAGTGATGGTTTTTATTCTCTCTCTACCATAACAGTGAAAGTCAAACATTTTCTTTCTTAATGATGGAAAGTCACTTCACTTTATACAGGCTCTGCTCTTCGGAAAATGCTGGAAAAGCTCTGGACTCTGCTAATGTTTTATTATTTCCAATTACAGTTCAAAGATTTGGGAATGCACTTCTGCACGACTTGACCTCAGACTGTGTTCTCTCAGGTGTCAAAATTTTTGGGTTTATCTATTTCACTCACCACACACACACACACACACAACTTAAAGGCTTATGTGGCTATTATCATTTTTTGTGTGTGTCTGTACTGTAACATAGGGCAGAGAAACCTGAGCTAGATTTAATCTCTTTAACTCAGGTTGTAATGGTAATCAAGATATGGTAGTGGGGAGAGCAGGCTTTTTGAAGGCAGAGTTGTCCATCCTCTTCTCTTGTATTCCTATAGCAGGTGGATGCCTTTGGATGGAGCTTCCACTTGCTATTTCTGTACCAATATTAAATTAAAAAAGAAAACTAAGAAGTTGTTTTTCAGATGTGAATCTGAAATCTCTGTTTTTGTAGACATCAATGCTTTTGCAAAATGTATAACTGAAAAGGAAAGAAATTTTGTGTTTAAACCAGACAGTGGATTTTAGAAAATGCTAATATCTACCCATTACTATAAAATCCATTATAGAATAAAACCCATGGGAAAGAAGAATAGTATCTTTTTTAATCCAAAGTAAAAGCAACTATGTTATAGTTTTTATCTGAGAATTGTAAATTATCTCAAGGTAAAATTATCTCAAGACATACATGCCTTCTCTTATTTTACTGCTTTGTGGAAATAATCAAGTCCAAACTTTTTGAACCATCTTTCGTGTTTATTAGGCTGTTCCTGAGGGCTTGGCTTGGTATGCCCTAACACAGCCTGAAATGGAACTGCGGAGCATGTCTTTGACAATTCAACCTTTTAAGGTGTTTCATGCCTATTATCACTGTGGCACCTCTCGAAATCTTATTTAAAAGGGGATGGACCAGTGAATGTAGAAGTCCTTCCTGAAGTGCCTCTGAATTATCACTTCTTAGCTATTAGACCCCTTCCTCCCTGTGTCAAAAGCTTGTGAAATATAAAAGCAAAACAAACAACAAAACCCCACGGATAACCAAATAGCTAGCAAAACTTTCTAGCTGTAAACCTTCAATATTTATATGAGCTTTATTCATGTAGCATCTCAGAATATGTGCCTCTGTATGTGTAAGGTATTGACTTTTCACGCCTTGCAAGACACAGAAACATTATGATCTCTGTTTTACAATGGGAGAGCTAAAGTTCAGAAAAACTGAGGTTCTTTTAGTACCTACGATACTTACCCACATAAAAATGTGGATACCTACTTAGTGGAATTATTAAATTGCTTAGGCGCCTAATATGCTCAATGAGTTTGCAAATCCCATGACTCGTCCGAGAACTTTTCAAGCTGTTTCTCTAACCACTGAGACCATCTTTTGTCTCCGAATTTTTAACCTATGTCTGTAGCTTTTATATATCATTACAATTTTGCAGGCAGTCCAGCGCCAACTAGAAGAATTGGAGGAAAGACAAAGAGCTCTGGAGATTTTTGGTGTCAAATTGGAGAGAGAACTAAGAGGAGAATCAGGTAAATGAAGCAGTGTTTGTTTGTTTGGTGGTGGTTTTTTTAACCTTTTTCAAAGCAGAGGGGTTTTAATGATTGTCGTAGAAATAGTTCAGTGCAAAATCTGAAATGAAACAATAACTGGAAGGACAAAAATCATTGTTTACCCTTTTCCTCAAACTCTGTTAGCTCAAGCACCTTTTCGCTGAATGCTATAAATTTTCTGTTGGTTATCACAGATGTGGAATTATTTGCCTTGCTGTTGAACCTGAATCGACATTTCCCCCCCCATTTTTTAAAATCCCATTCTGAGCTTAGTTTCATCTTCTGGAGGGAACCAGTGAGGTTTCCAGGAGCTGCATCTCAGTTACCAAGCCAGCAGCCGCCCGTGCCTAGTAACAGAGTCCTTAATGACTTCTCCCGGCGTGTGAAATGCCATTAATACGATTAGAGCTGGTGGCCATGCTGTAGCAACAGCAGCATGCAGGCACACAGACCTGAACCACACAGCTTTCCCCCCCACGGGTGGAAGATAACAGGGATGTCCTGGCCCTGGTCGGAGGCAAGGTTTTCACTTGCCTGAACCAACAGTCCCAAGCACCCAGAACTGCGGCGTCCTCCCGCCGGCCCAGCCTTACCAGTGCTCCCCAGCGTGCATGGGGTGAAGCTGGGGAGACCTTCCGCGGAGGGACGGGACATCTAGGGGCTCCTGTAAGGCTCAAAAGGGGGATGGGAGCGTGAACCATGCGTGTGAGGGACTTCAGAGGGGGCTGCAGTTCTGTGCTGAAAGGGCTCTGGGGAGCCAACAGCCCGACTGCAAATGTGGCTTTATTTACCTCTGTTTTAGAAAGCTGAACCTCGTGCTTTCATGACAGGCAGTTGCACAACGCTGAAAACCTAGATATGTTTTGGCACCTGATCTTGTTGTTGTCTTAGCTAGGCAACCCAGCAAAAGCTCTACAAGCTGGCTTTTTTAATGCCATATTTCTTGCAGTTATTGCCCCTATTCTAACACTGACCTAATCAGTTCAGCACGAGAGCATTTGCCCAACCTTTTATATTTATTAACTAATTTCCTGTAATTGATAGTGCCAACCTATTTCAAATGTTATTTAAAAGGCATCGGGGTTTTTTTTTTCTTAAATGAAAACATAACCGTTTATCAAATGGCACCCACCTTACCGCCTATGAGAAAGTCTGCTAAAAAGACACAGAGGATTTGGAGTATTAGCTTTTTTCTTTACTGCTGATTTGTATAAGGGTGGGTCTTTTTTGGAAATGTCAAAAATATAGAGGGACAAGAGGCTTCTAGCTCTTGGGATAGACACCGAATACCAGGATAAATGGCCTAGAGCTACTTCTTGTTTTTGCTGTTTTGACAATCACATTTCCTAAAGAAGGCTGTCTGCCAACAGATTGATGCTTCTCATTCTCTTCCCATCCTTAGTAATTGGATTGCCCTCATTAAGGTGAAAGTACTATTTTTTTCTCCCTGTTGATTGTTTGTGCGTAGGTGGCCAGTTACAAATAGGGCAGATACTGAGATGTAGGATGTTACTGTGTCTCAATAACTCTTTTGGTGCAAAAGCATGAAGCCGTACGTTTCCCAAACGAAATGTGCGTGCTCTGTTGCTTGTAATAACATATGTGTAACGATGCAGGAATCGGCGAGTTTAATATTCTGTTCAACCTTCTTAAAAATAATGAGCATTATTGTTTAATGAATGACCAGTGTTTATTAGGTTAAGTTGTATTTAAGCAGGTCTGCGCTTATGCAATTCAAGTGATTTAATAGGTATTATTAAGGTAATTAGAAAACAATCACAGTTCAGCAATAATATTGAGCTGCAAAGGTTGTGAATAACCAAATTTAGAGACAGGCCTACAAACACTAGTCTTCAGTGACATTTACGCAGCTCTCCTCTAATAATTCTGTAAGCCTGGGATGAATGGCTCCTTTGTTGGGGGGAGTTATTCATTAGCTCCTCAACTGAATTAGAAGAGAACATGCGTGGGTGCAAAACAACTGCCATGAAGACTGATGAGCAAAATGAGGCTTTGATGATCTTCTAATTGTAGCGACAACAATTCATGCATTTAAAAAAAAAAAAAAAAAAAGAAATAATATCAGTCCTATGAATAATTTTTCATGCCCGTTATTCCCTTCATTCTGGTTCGAAATACCAAATAATAAATCATTGATGTACCGTCGCTTTGTTTTCCACTGACATTTGTGGAGGCTTATGGAGATCTCTGCCTACAAGAAAATACAGAAATAAAAATCTCGAAACACATTTTCCACTGAAATTAGCATAACCAATCAGTTGACTAAACAAATCATGAAGAATGAGGGTAAAGAAGAAAATCTGTGTTGAGAGAACGTTAAGAAATCTCTCCGTGTTTTGGAAGGTGAACAAATATCTGCACATGTTGCAGCTAGTTTTTGATTTCATAAGGAGGCATATCCAAGGTTTCTCAGAACTTTCAACAGAGTCAAAAGAAATCAGTTGAAAACCTGTAGGAATAAGGAATATGAGGTTTAGCTGTTCCTAAAAAAGTGCAAACTGGCCGAGCCCCCTTTACTGTGTGCGGAGGGACAGCGTAGCATCACTCTGGAGAACAGAAAATTGAGGTTTTGAGAACAGTGTTCAGTAAATACTCCTCTGCAGCCTGTCATTCCCTCAAAAGTGATGAAAAAAGAAATAGCTATGATGTAATTAGAATAATATCTCTCTTTCAAATGGGATCTAGGTTAAAGGAGACTTGGGTAAACCAGGAGGAAAGTTCTGCTTTAGCAATGCTGTAAGAAAAAGCCAGCATGTCTCACAAAACTCACGAATTGTTTTCCCTCTAACCTTTAAAAAGATCTGTCATACTACATTACGCAAAAGACTTCATTGGCTTGTTCTGCCCTTGGAAGGCATAAAGCACTCCATCAGACTTAAATAACTATTAACATTATTATTAACAAACATTTGAAAAGCTCAGGAAAATATGCCCCTGGGGAGCCTTGGGGGCTGTTCTGTGGACGGAGAAGGAGGGGAAACAAGGGCTATTTTTATTTCAGCTTGCACTGAGGATTTTGCTAAAATGAGTGGCATTTTCGCGAAGTGCGTTACTCTCTGCTTACCTCAATCAACCTACGATACACAGTCTTCTATTAGAGATATAGAGGTTTTTACATGTAAAGAGGAAACGTTAAAAAAAGAATATTTTTGCCTAATCAAGAAAACAGCAAAAAGGGAATAGTAACCCTCTGTGTGTGTGCAGGACGTACGCATACCTGCAATTGCAGTGTTTTTACTGACAGTAAGATAGATCCAATTTTGAGATAACTTCTGATGGTGGCATACGAAGACCTAAGGCTCTGAATACTAAGGCTGCACCCCTGCATTGGATCCGTGAGAAACCACCTTTGGCATGTCCCAGCAAGAACTGCTCCAGCAGTCACTCTCAGAGGACGTTTTTTTATCAGCACTTGCTGACCTGGAAGATCCCACAGGAACACATCCATTACTGCCAAGTTTTAATGGAATTGGACAGAAATCGGACCAAGATTGCTCTGCCCTCTCCTGCTGCTTTATCCTCCTATTTCATGGTAACATCAGAATCCTGATGTGAAATTGCAGAGCTGCACCCAAGCCAGCGGGACTCCTGCCCTCGGAGTCATTCCTTCGGCACTGGCAGGAGGTGACCCGGGCTCTCTGGGATGACAGCGCCTGGTGAACACACGCAAATGGGCTGGTGATCCCAAACACCCAACAATTTCCCTCCTGCTCAGGAAGACTGCTAAAGGGCTGCACTGGGCGAGATCATTACTGCCCGAAGGAGATGGGCTTTAAACTGCTGTTCTTGAGTGGAGCCAAATCCTGTCTTTGACATTAAAGTGAGGGACAGCTGAAGCAGTAGAGGCAAGAGGGTAATTCCTGGGGCCAAGAACAAAGCGCATTTCAGAACGATAACAGAAAGGCATCTGAAACGCTGCTGAGCTGTCCAGGACTCTGGCTATCTCTCCACTTGGTAACCTAGTTTAATGATACTCTTGTAATTGTCATCTCTGGAGCTTGAACCTGAGTGAGACCTTTGGGCTTAAATTTCAGCGCTCTCAGTCATCTGAAATAAAGGTGCAGTCCTCTTAAAGTAGGAGAAATCACGTAAGTCTCCATCCACAGAAAATAGCCAGGCTGGTTTATGGGGATTATGGGTTTATGGTTATCTAGCAGTGTGATGTAAGGACTGCGGAGGAGAGAGCTGTGCTCCCCTGCCTGCTGGCAGCACCTCCTTTTGCTTTGTCCCTGGTCCGGCTGTCCCGGCCTCCAACACACGGGGTGTGCAGCTACCACGTGCTGAGGCAGGAGCACAGGCTGGTTGTTGGTTTTATGCTTCTGAAGGGATCAGCCTGTCACCTAAATTCTTGCCTCAACCTGGGACAGTGTAAGATATTTACTTCCTACAAGTGATCACTACTTTGTGGCAACAGACGGCGGACGGGCAGAGCAGATGTTGTGGGAGGTGTGTCTGCAGTACCATCGCTGCTGCTGTAATTCTGCATCAAAGGGTGGTTGGGTGGTTTTGTTTTGTGAAGAAAATTAATGGAAAATGTGAAGTGATGAGAGTGTTAAAAAGGACAGCAAGGAAAAGAAATATGTATGTGCTCTGACTTGCCACTTGAAAACACCCAGGGGTTCTTCATTGCCAAAGATTTTTGTACAGGTGGCATTTTAGGAGCAGTAAAGGCCCTCACCTGGTGAAAGAGAAATCTGTCCTCCTCTTCAGCAAGGCAGAGTCAAGCTGTGAGCTCTTTGGGAGAGAGACCACCTCGTGTCTTGTGTCAGTATAGTGCCTACCAGTGATGCCCTGGCCCAAAGTGTTACAAAACCACCCAGTAATAATGGATTTGTCCTGTCCTATAGCCTTTCCCGTCATTCAAAGCAGATGCAGATTTAGAGGCCAGTTGGCAAATGAATGGAAATTTATAGAGGATTTGATTGTATGTCTGATGCCCACTGGAAGCAGGGACTAAGTTGATACTTGCCAGCATGTACATCCTGAAATCCAATTGTGTTAATGCGATATCCGTTTATACATATAGTTCAGCTGCTGGAGTCCAGTATCAACAGAGAAACTATGTTATCAAAGGCAGAACTAAGAGAAAACGCCCACTGAAAAAAGAAAGTCTATATGAATATTTGAAAGAAAAAACTTATCTTCCAAAACAAAAGCATTTTTAAATCTAATGCATCTTTAACTGCTATAAACTACAACATTCAACCAAATGTAGACAAGAATTTTATACCTGTGGTACCCAGACATTACTGAGGTAAGTAACACACAGCAAAAAATATCTACATTTGAACTCACCTAGGCTTACAAATGAGGACTGTTTAAAGTGAACTTAAGTGGTAAGAGCATTGGAAGGAAAGCTGGTAATGCACACTTAAGTCTCCTATTTTAAACAGATTCAGGCACAAAGGATGAAACTCAGATGCTACATGAATGGTTTGAGCTGGTCCTGGAGAAGAATAAATTAATGCGTTATGAGTCTGAGCTCCTGATTATGTAAGTAAGGACAAGCATTAGTACTAAAGACGGGGAAGGGAGAGGGGGAAAGTGTACTCACAATACACCTGAACACCTTGCTGCGTGCTGCAGTTTGAGACTGCCGTGGAATAAATGTACCCAGAGTAGCTACAATCTGTTTTGAACACAGATTTTTAGTTGAGCCCTCCTCGTCCTTCCCTCTCACAGTGGTTCAATTATTTCAATCCTATACGATACTCTAAACCAGTATAGCATATAGATGCTCTGCCTTTACATAATGTGGGTCTAATGAACACTGGGGCACTTTCTCCTGTGGAAGAAAAATAGTCTGAAGTTTATCTCAGTTTTTATTGGACATAGGAGAAAAGATCTAGGAATTCACTACAGCAATGAAACAAGCAGATACACCCAGCAAATAAAAACCGTCTCAGATGCCACTGTTTGTGGGTGATGGAAACAATATTGACTGTAGCTCCCTCACCTCCTCAGAAATGCACTCAACAGATAGGCAGAGGTGACTCTCAGCTATTTTCTCCACTATTTCTGGGCAATGTGGGAAGGTGATGAGAGCTGCAGCAGTCATTATTCACCCCTGGACTTCATACCAGTGCAGGCTGCTCGTTGCCATTTATCATTTCCATATCACTCAGTCAGCCCCCTGTGCTGTCTGCAGAGCTGCAGCCCAGCCACTAGCTCCAGTTGCACCCCAATTTCTCCCCAGCTGTGCTGATGCTGCCAGGGGCCAAACCTTTTCTTTCCCCTTCGATTGTCAATGGGTGTTGTGGTAGCAATGCTCCCTGCTCACACTGTCTGCAAAGCGGAGTTCAAAAAGCAAAAGCAGACTGCTTTTATCACCACGGGACACAAAATGTTGTTGTCTGGGTGTGTTCACATGTGTTAATTCCCTTGCCTGAGGACCCGTTCCTGTGCAGAGGGCCTGGCAGGGCCCTTCGTGTGTGGGAGCGTTCAGTCCTATCCAGAATTACAAAGCACAGCTGGTTAAAGCCTGAAGTGTTGCAGCGTATGAGGGAGCTTACTCTGGTATATAATGGAAAAGGTGGTAGTGGTACTTCTGGCGTTGCTGTGGCAATGTAGGCACAGGCAAACCTTTTAGCCTTGACTGCCCATGAGGAGAAAATACTGGATAAAAAGAACACAGAATCTCTTGGTTGAAATAATATTAACATATATGTCTTTATTGAAAAAAGTTTATTCTTTAACGTACTTTTTATTGTACCTAGAGCCCAAGAGCTAGAATTGGAGGACCACCAAAGCAGATTGGAACAAAAGCTGAGAGAGAAAATGGCCATTGATGGTAAGTCAAAGAGGAGAGTATGCTCCAGCCCACAGTGACAGACCATGCCCGTATGTATCCCTGTTTGCTCCAAAAAGGACCAGAGTGGCTGAGGCTCTTCCTCCTGTGCTCTTCTGCGAGTGCAGCTCAGCCAGCAAAACGCAACTTGTGAGGTCTTCTCATCTGACTTCTAGCGAAGACAGCTAAGCTAACCTGCCCAGTTTTACATTGAACTGGATCAGAAGCACTCGCACATGTAATTCCACTAATTGTGCTGCACAGGCATCCAGCTAACGTGATGATGGGCAGCAAGGGAAAGCAATTTTTTCAACCACCTAAACACAAAAGAGGTTATCTGCTATTATGTTAACTGTAGCATTACTGGTTACTGCAGTATTTTGGAACTGCTTTTAGGTACTTGGGATTGCAGTTTGGGCTTGTCCTTTCATTCGGTATTAGAAAAGAGAGCATGGGGAGGAGGAATGCAGGGAGAAGGGGGGTTACATAGCACTGAATACCCCAAAATATCCTGTTGTGTTCTAAGCACGTGGATTTTGTAAGTGACGGCAGTTTTCGATACGTTTTCTGAAAAACACTTTCTGTTTTCTTACAGGTACTACATTTCATGGTTGGGCTTTTTATGTTATAAATTTAAACTCCAGCTTAAACGTTTTTATAAACAAATAGCATTTTTCCTACCCCTTCAAGTTTAAGTTTTGCTAAAAGATCTAGACATAGGAGCCTTAATGGTCAACCTTACATGGCCCAAACACAGGAGAAATTTTCCCTGAACTGCAACATGAAAAATATTAACTGCTATTGACTTCATTTGTCGTTGACTATAATATTAATTCAAGCTGTACATCAACAGTTAAAATGCAAGGTGTAAAACAGATTGATCTGGATTTAACCTCTTGTTCTGTGATCTTTTAGACAGCCTTAAAGATGAGATGGATCTGAATGAGGAGGATGAAATTTTTACTGAGATGATGAAAGTGGTTGAAGAAAGGGACAAACTCGTGTCTACCTTAGAGGAGCAGAGAGTGAAAGAAAAAGCAGAAGACCAGCACTTTGAAAGTATTATATTATCTAGAGGCTATCAGCTTAGCAGGATTTAAACAGCCACATGCAAATAAACATGATTTCAGCAATATTCGTGATCGTGGAGATACAGTCTTCTGAAAAATGAAGGAATTCAAATTTAAGATCAGTTTATTTGGGAAACATGTCATTTTGTTATCAAAGGTCTTAAGCAGTTCTTTTGCTCATACCTGAGTGAGTCATTTCACTATCAGCTTAAAGGATCGCGGGAATACAGAATAGGACTGAATTTACCTGTCTGATGGGCATCAGGGTCTGTGAAAGGGAAATCAGAGCTCTGTTGTTTTCTTGGAATTTTATTTTAATGCTGAGAACAGAGTTTCTGAGAAACATGATGACATCATTCAGTATTTTTGAGATGGCATTATTTTCCATCTGTTTGTCTGAATCTGTATGTTAATATTTTGGCACAGCCAAAACATGGTGAACTATTTAAAGGCCAGAAAGCAAGCATCTCATATAAAAATAAGGTTAGTTTTTATTTCTGGTGGAGGAAGGGTTGTTTGACTAATAACTACATATTAGCACTCATTAAAATTACTGTAAATGCAATGTCAGAAGTTAATTTTCCAGGTATTTGTAAGTTTTAGTGCACTGAGTATTTTTGAACAAGAAGTTAAAGCAATATTAAATCCCTACATTTTGTAAAATGGTAAGGCATTATCAAAGGGGTGACTACCCTTAAAACTGTTAGATGCTCAGAAAAGCTTTTGTATGTCACAGAATAAGGTCTTTAAAATATGCTAAATGATAATTTAGAAATAGTAATCCAGACCCAATTAGTATTTATAGGGTAGGCTTTACAACTGCTTGATAAAATACATCACAAATAGTGTCATAGGGTGTGATGAGTGGTGTAGCAGTTAAAGATCTCCCTGAGAATAATTCCTCAAAAGGACTGCAAAAAAAGTTGAGTTTGTAATGTCAACATTTGACAGAAAATATTGTGGGTATATTTAAACTACATTTATCTTGCTGCTTAAGAATATATGCAATTTTTTTGCTTAAAGGAACTGTCTCCTATCTTTTTTGTACATGCATTTGTAGATATTGGCAAAGCAGATGTGCAGAAATTCTCCTTAGTATTCGGTGTAATTTAAGTAACTTTCTTAAATCTGAGATAATTCAGCAATTTAAGATTGGTAGTGTTCCCAACTGTGTGTATGATGCACTAGATTTTCAAACTGAAAAAACAACGAGACACTGAAAGACTGTTTCTTTTTGAATATCATTTTACCTCATGCTCTGAGAAGATTTGATGTTCTCGTTATTTCATGAATGGTGCTAATTTGCAGCAGTTGTCTATGGTACAGCCAAAGCTAGAAGCATTCCTGTTACAAAAGCTTTAAACTAAAAAACCTCTTGGTAAAAACTCCAGACACACTGGAACTTGTCACAGTAATTTATGAATTAACTTAAGTTTTGCTGTATTGTAAGAAATTTAAAATACCCTTTCTAAAGATAAAAGCTAGATTTTACTATTGACCACAGATAAATAATATACCTCTATTGGTGCAAGGAATATACTATTGTTCTGCAATATTTATGTATTTATATTTATTTATTAGACTGTTTAAAGAGGATAAGAGTGGTTGCATTTTACAGTTTGGATGTTGTCTCTGATTTTGATTGATAAATGTGTATTTCTAACAGATATGTATAGGTAAAGCTGTGCATTATAGAGTAGATAGCTTTATCGATTTGGTAAATAATTAATAATAAAAGAATTAAGGTTTGAATTATGAATTAAGATTTTTAAACAATGTTCTCAGTTACCATAACTTGAAGGGATATCCCTAAAACATAGCATGTAGGGCTTTAGCAATATAACTTGTCTTTCATCGCAGTGGAAAGACATAGCAGAATCCTTGAATGTGTTCCAAAATTACCATCAGACTTTTTTGTCATTCATAGGCTAAGCATACCTGATCTTCAGATCACATTTTTATTGAGATGGATTGCAGCGATTGATTTTTGAACTAACTCTATTACTTCAGATTGACACAAAGTAGGAGCAGGCAGGTCAGCAATAAATATTTTAATTTTCTCTGTTGAAATCTGCTGGTATTTCCAGTTTTGTGGAGAAAATTTCTGGATTTTCTCACTGTTCCCAGAAGCCTCATGTAATCCTGTAGACAAGACTGTCTAGAACATCTATCACAGTTTTCTGCAGAAAACAGAGAGTCATAACGCTTTCAAGGTATTTTTAAAAAGTTTTAAAGCAAACTTCGTAGTGCTTTGCACAGGAGGGAATTCAGCAGAAACCTTCAGTTATATCAGTCAAAGATTGTTTTTTTTTTTCCACCTCACTTCTACAATCTAAAAAGCCCATTCACCTTAGTGTTGCTGCCGTACAAAGAGGAAGGGCAGCCTCAGAGAAACATGATGTCCCAAGCCCTGAGGAGGAGATTGCTCTCCGCTGCCAAAGTCCAGCCTGCCTGCCCAGGGGAGATGCACCCACTGCAATCGGTCAGGTTCAGGTTGCTCTCAATTGTATGTAAGCCCTGCGATTTCTGTTTACAGCAGATACCGGTTCGGCTATAAAACCGAATGCGAAAGGGTGCTTTTCTTTTAGCTCCAAAGATTTGAGTTCTTGAGAGTATTAGAGTCAACAGAAGCTGGGGGCCATCAGCATTTTATGGACCTCGAAAATATTCTTTGCTAAAAAGATACTTTTCTGGATGCCATGTGGTCATAACACATGCTCCACCCAAAACTAACTGTTTGCTCTTGGGTGGAAAAACCTGCCAGGTTACTGTTACCCTGCCTGATATTAAGTACCTCACAGGATTAGATCCAAAAAATGAACTGTGCGAGTGATTTGGAAAAATAATAAACTCTTAAGTCATTTAAAGCAGGTCTTCATATATCGTGAGAGTAGAGAAGGAGGGGAAAAAAAAAGAGAAGCTATGTGCACTGTTCACAGGTCAATTTAATATGGTTGGCTTGTATTAGAATTGTATTTAAACATTGGTTTGGTTATGAGTCTTCTTGCTGCTCAATCTTTTCTGTAAATTGACTCACTAACTTATAATAGATTTGTTCATTTTTAAGTCCTTGGCACTGTCATTTTTGGGTATAACGTGATGTGCTGGAACGTATTGACTATGTCTAAATGGACTACATGTGAGCAATTTTCTATTTGAAAAAATAAAATTATATCTCACTCTCTGAAGTCCCTGAATCATTTCCATAGCAATTTCTCTCCACCGATATCTACAATGTAATAATGTGTGTCTAGGAAAGATCTATAGGTAAGAAATTACATCAGTTTCTTAATCCATATACTGGTAAGTAAATCACACTATCTTGCAGTTCACAGATTCATTTTATAGTTTAGGAATAATGATACCCTGAAGTTAGAGGGCATTCGACGCTACCTTTAACACAAGAGGTTGCAGACTCCATGAGATCAACAACTTCCTCACATTCTTACATAGGAATTCACCACCTAATTTCCTTAGGCATGACGTACAAATTATAACAGCTCCTTGAAGACTTGAAGGAAAAGTGTCACTGCATGGATCACTAAGAATTGGTGATCAAAACCTTAATTGCCAATTTTCAAATTCCACTAACTTTGCCTCTATCAGGTCATCTTGTTTTGTAGCTTTCTACCAGTGGGAGAGCCTTACAGAGCAAGACAATGTGCTGCTCAAGATGAGACAAGTGGATAAGCAAGATTTGGTCTTAAGTTAGTGCCTGCACCTTTGTCCCCTGCTCAATGACTCTGAACTGATGGATAGCTCTCTCCTCTTCAGAGGACAGATGGACAGCTGCTTCTCTTCAGAGGTCAAGGTACATTTTGGCATATTTGAACTGAGGTTTTTCTTCTACTGTCATGTCCTTTCCCTTCCATCTTGTGTGCTTCAGAGGCAGATGGGCGTGGTGGTGACTCCTCTGATAATACCACATGTAAGTTCTCAGGACTGCACAGGAATTACCTGCCTGCTGGGTTTCTTGGAAGTGATATGTCAAACTTTTATCTGTGTTCAAAACCTTGCAGCCATGTTGACTTCTCAGCCAGCTGGTCAACAGCTGGAGGACTTGCTGGCCCAGGAGCAGGATATGAGTAGAAATGCCACCATAGGAATTTACTGAGGCTCCCCTCCTATTCACAGCGCACACACATACCCCCTTGTCCCCTCTTCAAAAGATGATAGGTCTAAAGAAACTCAATTGGACAAGGAGTTCAGGAAAAGGATTTTGTGAGCCATTATTTGACTCAAGATCAATCCACTTGCCCACAAGGTAAAGGAACGCCTCACTGATTTTTAGGGTATTTGGCCAGGTTTCTCTGGGCACAGCCAACAAACTTAGAGGTCTTGTGGTTTGAAACCTCTGCTTTTTAGCCCAGTGCATATCTGATTTCAACTAAGAATTTCTCTTTAGTTTAGTAATCTCTTTCCAGAAAGATATACTCTGTTTTCTTTCTTGCTTGAGCAAGTAACAGGATGTGGCTTAGCAGATTGGAGATTCTGTACATCTTTCAAGACTTTGCTACTGTTAAGAACTAAAGCTGTCCCTGATGGGTTTTGCATGGATCGTACAGTTTTTGCACAGTTTAGCATGATGGGTTTGCCATGTTAGCATGCAAGTACTATCTCTCCAGTCTTCATGGCAGCCACATCTCATGAACCTAGATCCTGGCAAATACTTTTTGATGAGTAAGGTATTTACTGGATTGCACCTAAATCTCTTTGCCTAATATTTATCAAATTGTGGTTTCTTCTCTTGGTTCTAATGAACTACGAAAAGAGACCTGGTGGCCCTGCGTGCCAGCAATGCGCTTGCTGGAATATTAATGTAACACAGATGTACAAAATAACAGGTAGAAGGGCACAAGTGAAGCTTATTAAGAAAAAATCATAATATTTTTTTTTCTAAAACTATCTCAAGAAGGCCAGATGTAAATGCAAGTAAACAGCCCGGTATTTATAAATAACTGATTGATGGAACGACATGTTATCAGAAGTATTAAATACCAGGATGATGTTCTCATCTTACTGAAGTTTTA